CAAAGCTTAATTCAATATATCCATCTTTTTCCGTTTTAATACTTCTGGAAGTTTACAATAGTGGCATCCATGGAGGTAGTCCAAAATGTCAAGATGACAGGAGCAGTGATGCAACCAAAGCTCCATCTATTTGTACAAGGATGTGAAAACACATATACAAAAGGAAGCAAGGTTTCAATCACACTGCCAAGACTACCACTTTAATTTTTCAGAACATCCCATTTAGTTTACAGCTGTTGCAAATGTTTTTCTTAAGTTGGTCCAATCATAAATATCCTCTAATTTAGAAACCAAAATAACATTTTACATTAAGAATGTACTAAACTAGAGTATGAACAATAAATATTATATAAATTGCCTGCTCTGGAATAGTTATACTGCATTAAATTGAAAGACTGTTCCAGAACAAAGTGGTTCTGAAATGTATTATATAACTTTCAGTAGGAACACAGTATGCCTGGTAGGTGCACAATTTTATTTTCCCTACATTATGTATTGGAATCGCTTCCATTCACAATGGGAGATATCCCTTTTTCCATCGATCACCTTCGAATCTGCTCCAAAGGGTTCAATCTATAAAGCAGATCTGGAGTGCTGTTAGTTTGATGGAGTGAATATTGCAAAAATAATCTATTCAATTGCTTTATTATTTTTATTCATTAACAACATATCAGTAAGAATCACTATATGATGTTTAAAATTGACCACACATTTCAAATAATGAAATGTTAAACCTTTACATTAAAATTTATTTTATGATGCACAAGCACAAACACAAGCCAATTTGGCACCAACTCATTATAATTAACAGACTTTAAAAATTTAAAAACTAAGGTGCAACACATACCTGTATGAGTTCGAATATGCTGCACATAGTTATTCTTCCGATCTGAAAAGTAGGAGCACTGTGAGCATGTATATACTTTTCGTGGAAAATGATTTCGTAGATGCTTTTTCCAATGATATTCACTGACTGTTGTATATGTACAGATAGTGCATTTGTAGACTCTCTCATTTTCTCCTGCTTTGTTGTGGTGCTTCAAGTGAGCCAGATAATGATCATACCTGTTAGTGTTATAGCCACAGCGATCACATCTTATAGGCCCCTTAGAAAAATCAACCTCCTCTGTAGTGCTAGAGTCAGTTTCTTTAACCTGACCATGTTTCTCAGCTTTTTCTTCTACAATGAATCTTTTGGCACTGTGTACCCGAATATGATGGACAAACTCTTTCTCAGACTCTGCCTCATACTGGCATGGCTTGCAACGAAATGGTTTGTTCTTCAAACCCTTACATTTGTCATCTATGCTCTCCGCAGCATCTGGCGCTTCCAATGAAAAGACTTTTTCTTGATTGCAAGAGTGAGGAACAGTAGACTCCGATAGTCCAGTTGTTTCTGCATTATGAACTTCAGGAGAGATAAGGTCTATATCCATATCTTCTATTCCTTCAGGGTCATTCTCTGTTCCTTGTGAATCATCTATTCCTTCTCCATCACTGTCTGAAAAATTGGTGTTACCCACCGTTGTCAGTTCAGCCATTTGCCTTTCTTCATCAACCATATAATCACAACAGTTGCCATTAACTTCTCCTGTCAGAGCCACATTTGCCAGCATAATAAGTTGAGGTGCTGCCAGTTCAGCTTTGGAAAGTTCAGAAAAGTCATACATGTCATTTGGCAGTGCCATGTTAAGGTTAGTATTGCTAGAAAATAGGCTGTTGCCACCAGATTGCCCCAATACTTGCATTGCCATAACAAGAATTCTGTTAAAGAAAAGAAATCTGAGTAAATTTCATTTTCTATAGAGAAATTATATAAATTCTACAAAGCAAAAAAATAATTCAGGCAATATAGTAAGGACAATTAAATTAAGACTGCAATGTTATTGGCAAATCAAACTAAATTTCTCTTAGTCAAGCTGATTAGTTGCATACAGTACTGAAATCATCTTTTTCAGTAAATTATATAGGATCACACAAAGTTGATCACTCCTTTTTTGTAAGATACAGAGTAATTCGTTAACTCCTTAAAACAGATCTAATTTGCAGTACCAAATAAACTGCTTTAATCGCAAGTGGATGAACAAGCCAGAAGCAAGATCCATTTAAACTAGCAAAGTAAACATATATTGTTTGACTAATCTTGTGTCAAGTTTTCAATTACTATTTCCTTGCACCTTGCAATTTGACGAGAACTTATTACAAAACAATTCATAAAAACTCAGGAACTAAAAACAAAACATGTGTGCCTCTTCAAATATAATACTAAACCAAGTCACAATTTGTAAATTAACAAACTATATTTTTGAGGTGAAATTTGATAATAAACCATAGTATACTTACTGCCTTCTTTTGCACATAACAAAAAACACAGTATGGCTGTCATTGACATCTAATCCAAATTAAGGCTATTTCCATTAAATAGAAACCTAAGACACTTGAGCTAAATGCATGCATGTTCCTGCACAGATGTATCTACATTTCAAATATATAGGAATACCTCAAACTACAATTGCAAAAAAACTCTGCTGGGAGAGAATGAATAAATAATCCAAACACATGGTTAATAAAGGTCATAGAGAAGAGCCAGTTAAAGAGGATGTCCATTTGTTAACTGTGATTCTTCACTTTTCTTCACTTATCTTGAATCATGCCTGTTCATAAGTTCTATCAGGCTACTTTCTATCAGGCAAGTTAACTGCTCTGTATTTTACTCATTGTAGTTAATAACCTAATTAATACAATTATCAGCTCACATGGACAAATTTGAGAAGGTCTGTATTAAGGTGTAAAAATGTATTTATTATGCACTATATGTTGTGACTGAAATTAGATTTTAAGGAATATAATTGGAAATAAGGCCCTATGTGACTTTTTAAAACACTGAGTTCACATATGCTAAACTAGAATTTTTAACTATATTTGTTGCACAAACCATAATGGCCTTGCCTGCATACCATGCTAGGTTAAGCTAAAACAAAAACAAAACCTCATAGCCATTGACTATGTCTGCACAACATTTTATGGAATTAATCTAATTTTCTGCGGTTGGACAACTCACTGAACCATTAACAAACAATTCAGGCAGAGTTTGCACAAAATACTAAGTTAAAATGTGTCACATTAGCTTGTTGTGCACCATGTTATATGATCACAGTCATTATGAAATGATTGAAAAGTAATGTTTCCAGACTACATTACTATATTCCTATTACAATATGTAGGAATCCATGGCAATAAGAATATTTGATCATTGTATTTGCTCAATTTATTTTCAAAAATTTAAACCAGTATGTACTTGGTAAAATTCTAATTAAATACATGGACCCTTGTTACTCCACTCCTAAGGCTGCTGGGTGGGCTATTCAGTCTTAAAATTAAACTAATAGCATGGGGTAATTTTAATTTACTTATGCTTGCTTTCTCTGGTCTAAACATAAAAAGATCAGTACGTAATTCTCAGATCTATATCTGAAATTGCTTCTTAGCAGAGGAAGAAAACTATATTTCAATTTTAAAGTTTTCAAAAGACAGAATGAATCATTAATTAATTAGAGCATCAACCTTTTGGGCCTTCAGTCTGATTCTATATAGAACTGATTTGAAGCCCCACCATGGGTTGTTTTTTCTGTAAATATATAAACGAATCACAAGGTTAGGGACACAAATAAACGTCCAAAAGTTTGCACTTTAAAAAGCCCCTTACTAAATGTATGTATATTGCCAGCCCAGCCAACCATCGGCAGCGGCGGCTGTTACATTCCAGAAATAGGCATTCGGCCATTTTCTCAAATACCAAGTAGGAGCACAAAGCACAGTTCTCTTTGCAAAACTCTTGCCTGCACCAGAGATTCAAACTCAGCAAACTCAAGGCCTCCTCCGCTCGCGGTAGATGCATCATCTACCGCTTTTCCTTTCCTCCTTTTTTTTTTTTTTTTTGCTTTAAACCCTCCTCCCAAAGTTCCAGTTCCTCTACAACTTTCTAGTGGGCTCCCAGAAAAGTCACCGAAGACGAAGAAGATTCGCCCAAGTTTCTCTCTCGCCCGCCCTCCCCCAAGGCGGCAGCGAAAGCGGGTGGGACCTTTTTCCTTCCCTCCTGAAGCAGCTCCCGACCTAAGAAAATGGGGGAATTGGCGATCGAAGCTCCTGCCTTGTTGCTTCCCCACCCCGCAAAAAAAACCCCGAGAACCATCCACTCAACCCCTAACCCTGAACCAAGAATCTTCTTCGACTCTTCCTCGACCCCCCCCCATCGCATACGAGGTGGAGGGCGTGGGTCGAGGAGATCAAGAGGGCTCCCCCGCTCCGGAAGTCGAGAAAGGAGCGGAGCATGGATCTGCCTTCGTGGGAAAGCGGCGGCTTCCACTTTCCAAGGAAAGCGTGGCGGGGGAAAGAAGACGGTCGAGGCCCACTCACTGCTCCAAGGGGCCGAGGCGGCGACGGCGACCGTGCCAAAACGCCTCTCGGCTTCTCCATCCGTGCAGGACGCAGAGCCCAAGGTCACCCCCCACCCTCAACCTACCACTCACGGCGAAGGGGCCCGAAAGCGGGGACGGCGAGAAATCGCTGTCCAGCTCCAAGCAGGGCGGCTGCTGCTGCTGCTGCTGCTGCTGCTGCGGCCTCCTCGGCAACTCTCAGCACGGGAGACGACAAACCGAGGCGGCTCCTCCCCGCCAAACTTCCTTCCCTTCTTCCAGCAGAGCAAGGAAATAACGGCCCGTGGGGAGAGAGGGGGAGCCGGGGTGGCAAGCCTCCCCGGCAAGAGGGAGACCTTTCCTCTGGGGCTCCTCCAGGGGCTTCCTTCCTGAGAGGCCCCGTAGCTCGCCAGCCCTCCCCGCCTGCTGGGCTCGGCTTTCCCCACCCGCTCACTCCACCCACTCCGCCGCCGTCCCATGCGCAGCAGCAGCACTAACAGCCTTCCTCCAGATCAGCCCTGGACAGCGCCACAAGCTCGCTCCCGCGTCCCTCTTGCCGCCAGCGCAACAGAGCCCCCCCCCCCCCTTCTTTCCCTCTCCTCCCCGGTCGTGGGTTCCTCACCTTCCCTTCTTCGCGCTCGCCTGGGAAGCCCCTCGGGCGGCCAGCGGGAGTCAAGGGCCGGCGAGGAGACTCATCCGCTGGGCGGTGGGGAGGGCGACGGCGAAGGCAGGCGAGCGGCGCCGCGCATTCCAGCGCTCACCACGCGCCTGCAACGGCAGCCGCCTCGAGGAGAGCGGGCCCCGCCCATCCTAACCCGATCCAATTACTGCCCTGCCCTGACCCGCCCCTCCCCCTCACGCCAGGTCAGGTTTTTGGCCTGCGTGGTTCGTGATCCTCGAAACCTGCCTTTGGTCACACGCAGCCATGTTTAGTGGTCCTTTCTTGTCTGTTTTTGCGGCCCTGGTGGCAGCAGAAGAGGGGTAGTCCAAAAAAAGAGGGTGTGTGTGGAGAAGTGGCTTGATAAAAAGCAAAGATATGCCATCTTAAATTAGGTAACTAGTGTTGCCTCGCTCTTGTAGACTCTTCTATGAATTCTTACCTTTAAAAAGATGGTACATAATACACACGGATTGCGGGACTAGGCACCGTTGCTGAATCTTAAAACCTCAGGACTTCAAGTTAAGAACCTCAGTTGTGTGGTTTACTTTGGGGGAAAATCCGATGTTTGGGAGATGCAGGACTGCATATTAAATATGCTGGCTCTATTCACATACCGTACTTAATTAACCTGAGTTTATGAGACACATTGAAGCCGTAAATTAACAACATGGGCTGAATTTGCTCAACAAGGATAAAATTTAGTTGGCTAAGCCATTGACTATACAACACATTAATCCATGGTTTCAATTATCATGGTTCAGAGAATCAGCTTAATGGGTTGGTTCCCACAACATAGTAGTAGCTGTGTTCACACAGCACACACTGAACTACAAGCTAGCCTGCTGTGTTTTACTGTTGCACATAGTATGGAAACCCAGAGATCAGATTGAGTAAACCACGTGAATTCTACAAATTCAGCCACTGAGTTATAGACATAGAAACCATATTAGCCAACTGTGTTGTGAAAACCCCTCTGTTATTTCTGAGTCTTAGTGACCCAAGTAAAATGCAAATGATAATGCTATTGAAATGATGTTTGCTTTGCTGGTACTAAATCTTAATATTGTATAGATCTGGCCCATCTTCCCCAAATCAAGAATCTCTTTCCATTCCATGGCTTCTGTTTGTCTGCCAGAAGAAGGACACAGGAAGTCAACTCTGTTGAGTAGGCAAAAAATAAGTTATAAAGCAAACACATTTTCTTCTTATCAAATGCTTATTCCCTGAGGCAATTCTTGCCAGCACAGTGGGGAGTGCTGATAAATATATAATATTACCTAGACATAGCAGTTAAGGTGCCTCAATGATTCATAGATTTTCTGCCCTAGTCAGAGAGGGAGAGGAGACAAAGTGTTGCTGGGTAAAAAGTACAACAGATTGCTGATTGTGTTACAGAAGTTGAGACATGGAAAGAGGCAGTGAGTTGAGTTTGGATTCTCAATAATAGCAATTTGGAATTGTTACTTTTTTAATAATAAAGCAAGGGACTTTAGCTGTCCATCAGACTTTAAATCAGGCCTCCTACTGTGCTCAACCTTTATTATTTTTCAAAACAACTCCAAATATAAAAATGCCAAACTCTCCATGGCTTTCTTCAAAAGAAAACAACTCAAATAAATATGTAATTTGAAACGTTTCACAGTTTGGAAAATTAGGGTGCAGATAACAATGTATTATAGTTATTAAATTCCCAAGTTAAAACTCTTACTGAGTTTACCCTTAATCAATAATTCTATAATTGGATTCTTGGGCTGGTTATTAGCCCTTAGTATATTCTATCTCAATAGGCTCATTGTGAAAATAAAATAAGGGGGGGGAGTCATGTATGATGCCATGAGGGTTGTTGGGTTTTGTTTCCTTGTTTGTTTTAAGAAAGATGGAACAGAAGTAATGCACAAGGATTACAGCTCTTGGAATTAATGCAGCCATTGACTTCACTGCAACTCAGAGGGTAGTGAGGAGCACTCTGATTGAGATCAGATAGTCCCGTTGCTCCATGCTATTTTCCATCCTAGTCCAGATTTTCTTCCCAGTTGTCATTTGCTGAAGAAAAAAGTATATAAGGCACACTGAACTGCATAATTATCTTCTCATTTATTTGTGTTCTATTGAATAAAATGAGAAATACAGTATTTCAGTCAGACCTATGAAGAAAATACATATACAATTTTAGTCCAGGTGTCATTGCTTTGATGGGAAAGGGAAGTGGGATGAAGCCATTGTTTTCTTCTGTCTCTTCAATCTGCGATATGGTAATAAGATTTCTCACTGGGTCTCTGGCAAAGCATCTAGACATGCCAATATGCCCAAGGATGCTTCCCTTAATGTGTGCCATGCTGCTTGATTCTCCTTTTTACTTTTGGGGGCAGGGGAGAGTTTTAATTTAAAAAAATGGAAAACTGACATGCTGCAAAGCATAGGGCCAACCTCCAACATTATCTTTATTTCCAGTAATGGTTCTGGAAAGGCTATTAATTGGACCATAAACTTTCTTAGAGAATAATGACCTGCTAGGTCTGTTAAGCCCCCAAAGATTAGAAACTCCTGGATTATTATACAGGTAGTCCTCAATTTACAACAGTTCATTTAGTAGCTGTTCAAAATTATAGTGCTGAAAAATATGACTTACAATGTTTTTTCACAGTTACGACCTTTGTAACATCCCCTGATCATGTGATCAAAATTTAGGTGCTTGGCAACTGGTTCATATTTATGATGGTTGCTGTGTCCTAAGTTCATGTGATCACCTTTTGCAACCTTCTCACAAGCAAAATCAATGGGGAAGCCAGATTCACTTAATAATAGGGTTACTAACTTATCAACTGCAATGATTCACTTAATAACTGTGGCATGACAGGTCGTAAAATGAGGCAAAACTCACTTAACAAATGTCTCACTTAACAACAGAAATGTTGGGCTCAACTGTGGTTGTAAGCTGAGTACTATCTATACAGGATTGCTGTAATATTATGTAGAGTATAAATATTTTATAGAGCTATATAGATTATATTTTAGGTGCTTAAACATTTTGACCTTCGCTGACTAAACCTTTTTAGCTGTCATTGACTGTTTTTAGAACCTAGAGGAACAAGAGAAACAGAAATGTCAAGGAAGAAAAGGAAGAGAAGAAATCTAGCAAGCAGAAAGGCACAAACTCAAAAGAACCTGCAAAGTTGAGGGAAAACTGGGAGCTGATTTTTGCTGTAGGTTGTGAGATTTTGTGATGTTGACTGTGGCTGACATTTTTTGGACAGTTCTTTCCTCAGATGTGAAGATTGTCACCACAGACATTTGGAAGCACCGATTGCTTTATTAGAAGGTTTGTTTTCTCTGGTTTTCAAAGCAGGACCATTACCCTGTGTTCTACAGTGGCATTGTTGCTCTTTATCGTTTTTGTCCAGTGAAAGAGAAATAAAGATGTTAATCATGAAGATTAGAGCCTGCCCTTTTGAACAGCATCCTTCACCCCAGATCTGTTGGCTTTCTACAAGGCCTTAAAAACCTCTCTGTCTCTCTCTCTCTCTGTCTGTCTGTCTGTCTCTAAGTTTTAAAAAATTCCTCTCTAGAGGACTAGGTAAAGGAATCTGGAAAGGAAAGAGAGTTAGAGAAGAAAATAGCATTTTAACAGACTGGGAAGAGAGAAGGATGGGAGAAATCACTTATAAATTAAATATTATTAGAACATATTAGAAATAGAATTTTGCCTCAAGGTCAAGATAAAGGTAGCACAGTAACAAGCAAGGTATTTGTATCTTAGGCAGTAAAAAGTTTGTTTCCACTGAAATGTAGGCCAAATTGTAAATGATAGCAGAAAATGTGCCTCAGTAAATATTTCTGAGTATTGAGAGCAATTTTAAGAAGAGCTGCACTCCTGACTTGCCTTCCTTCTGCCTATCCCTTGAGCTATTTCTTGCCAGTTGGCTTTTAGTTTTGCATTCATTGAAGACAATACAGCCTGCAAGTTGTTGATTCCACACATTCCAGGAGGAAGATTTTTGTTGTGAGAAAGACTTGGGGGAGGGGAAATGTCTCTATGATAGTTTCCACTAAATATAAAATTGTCAGAGTAAGTACCACTTCTAGCAATTATATTCCACTTTGAGGCTCTTACACTTTTGCAGGCATGAACAGATCTTGCTTGTGGGTCATTCCTATACCTTCGCTGATATAATGAGGGTATTTTAGCAGTGAAATGGAAAGGATAGGCTGGTTGTTTTTAAAGGAGGGCCCAGATTTGTTATTACCATGATAGGATAACAGAGGGCATATTATAAATATTAATTTCACTGGTATATTGCAACTGAGAAATAAATACAGTTCTTTCTATCAGATGAGAAATACTTACCTTTTTACAAATGTTTAAATCCCTGACATAGTGGAACAGAAATGCATGTCATATATTTTATAGTTTGGTGTGGAAAAAATGATATGCTTTTCTAGTTATTTCTAGAAATATTTATAGTTCATGTACATCTGACAAGAGTACTGCATGCTAGCTTGCATTATGCTAAATGTGAT